GGGGGGGGGGGGATAAATCATTGTAGGTTGGAAAGGAGGGATGTGCCTTATGATCCATGTACGAGAGTAGGAAACCTACCCAAAACAAAACTTTATGAACCCAGTTTCATGAGTAGGAATAAATGGATTAAACAACCACATGGCATATTTGGACTGTAGGTAACAAAAAACTAATTGAACACACAGTTTATAAAGTAATTGCAACTCGTGTGTATCAAATTCTTGTGGCTTACAGATCAATTGATGTAGTCACTGAGGAGTTAGTTGAAGTTCATTCATACTGTTGAATGAAAAATGCAATTGCAAAAAGTGTGTCTCACTTAATTTGGTTGTGTTGAAGGTCCTAAGGGCTTTGTCACAATTGGACCTGGAGAAAGCTTTCATTGCAGCAAGAAAAACGAAGGTTGTGAAGAATGAGTGCAGTGGCTTAAGTATTGGTCACCACCTAGGCGTGATGCTGATTATGAGGTGCAAGTTGAAATAGATGAGCTTTTCTAAATTTTGATGTCTAAACTATGGATTATTATTCGGGTGCTAATATTTTCTAGAAATGTTCTGGTACTCATCTTAGGGATCGTTGAAAACAAATTGTCTTATTTACTCTCAAGAAGTGGACTGACTTTGAAGGCAGCTGACACCAGTAAGCTCTGGTGCCATTCACATCGATGCAGCAAGAAGTCAAAATTTGGATGGAGACTAAGTTTATGTGAACAAATGGCACTCAACAAATGGAATCTAACGTCAGGGGAAATGTGTTGCAACAAACCAAATCTCGGGGGTTAAGTGCTATATTTGCCATCCTTGAGAGGGCCTGCCAAATGAAGCACAAATCTCAGGGTTCTTAGGTGAAGTTTAAACTAGTATACAATGTAAACTGGCTTGTATGGGACATGCAAATACAACATACTTCAATTGATGAAAAATTATTTTTGAGACCCATTTCTTATATTTCTAGCTTGCCGAAGTGGATATATAGTGATAAAATTATTCTTACACAGTTATGCGACATGGGATAAATCATCATAGGTGTGTGCTGTGGCATATTGTAACGTTAAAAAATATCTTTACACATAACAAACCTAAGAAGAAGGAGGCTATTCATCTAATATCAGCCTTTGGAGCTGATCTCTCAAGTGGAAATGGACTTAAAATTCTCAGCTTAATGCATAAATCTAGACCAACAGCAGCAAAAGCGAAGATTAAAAGATTTTCAGATACATGAACTGCACCATCGTAAGCATGTGAGAGTAAGCTATCAGCATCCAGCTTCAGAGGTGATCCGCTGTCCAAGCTAGACAGGCCTGCATTGCAAGTGCAACTCATAATTAAGATCATATAGGCCAGCCTTCAGAGTGTACCCCTTTGTCAAAAAACAATCAATCAAGCATCAAAATTTTATTTATTTCAACCAAAACAACCAATCAGAACCAAAATTTGATCTTTGCTAGTAACACTGTACCTTTGACAAAGCCAAAAGCTGCAGACGTCCCTGACTTGAGCTGAAAATTATCCAAGTCTCTTCTTATTGCATACCGAAAGGTCACTCCAAATAATGCACAACTAACAAAGGTGATTGCCACAGAGAGTATCAACTGGGGATTGCTGGTCACTGTTGTCAAGGAAATGGGAAGCCCTGCAAGGGTGCCAACTAGCGCAGAAATTGAAGCTGCTTTTACAGACTCCCATCTCTCTTCATTTTTGTTGATTGCTTCGCGTTCTGTCTCTGTGAGAGAATCTGTGTTTCTTACACCCTCAATGCCCAGAGAACGCTCTGCTTCTTCAAGCATCACTTTGGCTTTTGATATTTCACTCTGACTTTCTGCAATCTTTTTGGTTCAACATCTCATGTCAGTAGCATCTCAATGGCTTCATAAAAGAGTAACATATCATGGAACACGAAGTTGTTATAACATAACCAATCCCTTATTGTCTATACACTTCATGGGTTAAATTTCCCAATTTTCAGAAGTAAGAAGGGAATATAATAGCAGACCTCGGAGGCTCTGGATTCGAGCTGTTTGATGTAATCCCTCAACTGTTTGGCTTCAATATCTTGTTTTTCGATCTCGGCGAGCTCTCTCTTCGCCATCTCCACTCTCAGCGTTGCTTTCTCCAATCCATCAAACAAATTTTTATTTTCTTCTCTGTTCAACAATTCCTGCACTCGCTCGTCCACCATACCGGACAGCAAATCCTTCAAGCTACCCATTTCATTCTGGTCTGAGCGATTGTTATCGCCGCTGCATTTAACTGTAATAGTTCGAGGCAGTGAGAACAATGCCCCGTCGAAGAGTCTCGCGCGGTGGGTCAGAGGTGTGAAGTGAGATCTTTCTGTGAATGGGTGACTTCTTCTAGCATTTGGAGAGGAAATCCAAGTGGGATTGAATGTGGTTGTCATGGTGCTCCTGATTGAAAGCAGTCTGTCTGAGGGGAAGGAATTGCAGTTGCAGGGTTCGTAGGGCTGTTATGTCTGCTTATCCTATTCTTTCAAATGTTAAAACGTAGTGAACCAAGTCCTTGGCCAAAGTATAAAGTAGTAGTTACCAATCAATTTGGTGAGTTTAACCCAAAGTGTTAACTCAAGTGGTAATTGTCGGACTAAAAAAGTTTTTAAAGCGTAAATATTAAAATTTTGGTTGACCTTGAATCTAAAATAAAATGAATCTAAAATAAAATGAGACCTGTTCGTTATTTTGAGTAAATTTTCGTGTGTTCGTATTTTACTCTGCAAGGAGAATAAGGTAGTATATTTACTTGTTCAAATTGAGTAAGAAATGAATGAAAAAATAGGTTCTAAAATGATCATCTTAAAATTTAGAAATAAAAGTTGTGCAATGTGGGATTTGAAACCAATCCCACATTGGTTAAGGTATAAATTATATATGAGCATATATAGGCCAAGTTTGCGCTTACATGTTTTCGGTTCAACCACGCGCGCGTTGCTCACACTCGTCACGTCATAACCCAGCGGGTTATTGGTATGGGCAAGCCCTATTTTTTTTGGAAAAAATTAATTTAATTAATTGAGCGAGAATTTTTAAACCGAAATTTTATTTCCGGAATCCATTAGATTGAATTGGTTCAGATTTTTTGCTTCCCTGCAGTCCGTAAATTGAGTTGTGTCAGTTCATATAAAACAATTACACAAGTGATNGCGCGTTGCTCACACTCGTCACGTCATAACCCAGCGGGTTATTGGTATGGGCAAGCTCTATTTTTTTTGGAAAAAATTCATTTAATTAATTGAGCGAGAATTTTTAAACCGAAATTTTATTTCCGGAATCCATTAGATTGAATTGGTTCGGATTTTTTGCTTCCCTGCAGTCCGTAAATTGAGTTGTGTCAGTTCATATAAAACAATTACACAAGTGGTTTCTACTGATTCTGGGTTGTGTCTTTTAGTATGGTGGTTATTCAAAAAGTTACCAAAGTGTCTATAAATACTCAGACTCATTACCATTCTGCATTCATTCATTCATCAGTTTAATTTCGGCATTCAGGTAGACATTATTGTATTACATATCGACATTAAGGCAGTTTACATTTTGGAGAGTACACAACACAATTATTAGTTCGCTGAACGAGTATATTAGAGTGCTATTTTTACTCGTGTAAAAATTATTGTATCCTGGGAGGCAGACGCTTGATATTTCATAAAACACCGTGTATGAGAGCAAAATCTGTCTTAAGCACATAATATCAAACACTAGCCTTGATCTACATCAACTTTAATAAAAGTTTTTGTTCTGCAACCGGGTTAGTATTTATATTGGTTTGACAAACAGTTACTGTTTTGTTAAAACTATAGTAATTGTTTCTATATTTTGTGTAACTGTTTCGCATTTTATTGTTACTGTTTTGTTATATATTACATGTTTCAAATCAGAAACTTTAATAAATAATTTTATTATATTTGGAATACCACATTCAACAGTAATAAGAACTAACTGTAAATTCATACGTCTTTGAATCTTAACAAATTTTTGCAGTCAGGCCATGAAAGATTTATCTCTTATGAATACTTTAATTTCGCCATAAATAACATGCATTTGACTAAATCAAAGATAAATTAATTGAGATGCGCGTAAGTTAGCTCGGGCATCTCTGACATTTGAACCAAGAGAATTTGTACAACTTTTGTGGGTTTTTTTTTTTTTTTTTGTTGAGATAAAAAAGAGTGGAGGCAAAAAAAAACGCCTAGCGACCACTCTGATAGGGCTACACGGGTGAGATCATAAAAGCCTTTGATCGTGTCTGTAAAAACTCTCGGGATCAGACCTAGTTAGGCTAGTATAGCGGTTAACCATCAAACTCCAATGAAAATTCCAAGATTTGAACTCCAATGAAAAATAAGACCGATAATCCATTGGACCACGCTACTCGGTGGTTTTTGTGGGTTATTTTACAACAAATAAATAAGTTATTTATCATTTTTATTTTTGTGGGTATTGGATCAAGGTGTGTGTATATAATATATATATATATATATATATTTTTTTGGGAACCGAAGGTATTTGTTTTTGCAGCTACAGCCACTATATAAGCGGCTTTTGGTGTGAGACCACTCGGAGGCATGTTCACTGTTGTGGCAAGAGGGCTAAACCAGAGGCTATTCAACTTCCTGAGGCCCGTCGCTCTCACTTCCTCTCTCATGGCCAACTCCACTAGGGTTTCTGCCTACTCCGCTGGTTCACCCACCAACTCTCTGCCTATAAAGCGCGTGGGCACCCACAATGGAAGCTTTCACTGCGACGAAGCTCTCGGCTGTTTCATGATTCGCCTCACCAACAGGTTCTCTGGCGCCGAAATCATCCGAACTAGAGACCCTCAGGTCAGTATTCAACTCATTTGTGTTCTATATGTCTATGCTTATATGTTTTCGTCGTTTTTAGTTAGTTTATATCTTAACTTCCTAAAAATTTTTTACATACGTTGTGATGTACTTTCGTTAAAATCAATGAATTGAAGGTTCTGGAAACCCTTGATGCTGTGCTTGATGTTGGTGGAGTCTATGATCCGAGTCGAGACCGGTATGATCATCACCAGAAAGGGTTTGAGGAGGTTTTTGGGCATGGCTTCACTACGAAGCTCAGCAGTGCTGGTCTTGTTTATAAGGTAAACCAAATGTTTATTTCCAACATTACCATTTGTGATTCAGTTTAACATTTTGTCAATGGTTTGCAAAGTAAAGTACTTATATTCGACATAAGCTCATTTATAGAATGTGCAGAGTTGTTGTTAGCGATTCTTGTTTATTTATAGTGTGGGTTGTATTTTGCCTTTTTAACCCTTTTTCTCTAGGTGATTGATTAGGGCTAAGTTTAGTCTAACTAAGATAATAGTTTTTTTTCATGGGTCTGCATTTGAAAACAAAATTTATCTCCACTCTTTCTGTAGCATTTTGGGAAGGAGATAATTGCTAAGGAGCTCCAACTTGATGAAGAACATCCAGACGTGCTGAGACTGTTTTTAGCTGTTTATAAGAGCTTCATGGAGGTACTAAACTTTGCATATTCGTATTTTTTTCTTCCCATAATGATAAAGTTGTGACCTTTTCAGTCGGAACCAGAAATGCATTTGGGTGAAATAACTTAACGTAGAGCTTCATGTCTTTGGCAAATTTCGATAATGAATTACCATGCAAAAGTNAAGTTGTGACCTTTTCAGTCGGAACCAGAAATGCATTTGGGTGAAATAACTTAACGCAGAGCTTCATGTCTTTGGCAAATTTCGATAATGAATTACCATGCAAAAGTTTTGTGGGCACTTGAACTGTTCAAACATGATCTGATGTTTGAGTCCGAATAATGGACGAAATTTTCATGGAGTTGACTCTCTGCTTTGTTGATTATTTGTTTTGCTGATTCCACTTTTAGATACTTGTCTGAGGTGAGGTTTGCAAATTATAGAAATGATATTTGAACTTTTGTGCTGGTGTAAATCATTAATGTTGACATTTGATCTGCCGGTAACAGGCAATTGATGCAATTGACAACGGCATTAATCAGTATGACACAGAGCAGGCCCCTAGATATGTGAACAATACACACTTGTCTTCAAGAGTTGGAAGATTAAATTTGGATTGGATTGACCCTGATCAATCTCCAGAGAAGGAGAATGAAGCCTTTCAACAGGCAATGACTCTGGCTGGCAGTGAGTTTTTAAATGTGAGATTTTCTTGAAATGATTTGGGCATCTATGATTTAGTTTGTGCAAATTTTTGTATAAGCTGGTTTGGGAAGAAGCAGGGCTTTTTCACTCACAATATTTTTATTTTAGTTGAATCCTTGAATTTTGAGCTGGCAAACCTTACATAAATGTAAGAAGGTAGAAAAGATTATCGTTTGCTCTCAATATGAATCTTAACTTGGCTTGATAATTTAACAATTTTTTAATACTCAGAGCCTTAGGTTTCACACAAGGTCATGGCTACCAGCGCGCTCAATTGTCATGAAGAGTCTTGCAGCAAGGCAAGAAACTGATCCTAGTGGAGAAATTATGGTCTTGACCAGCTTTTGCCCTGTAAGTAGTCAATGCTTTTGTATCAGCTGATGTAATACTGTTCTTGTGTACAGCAAGCATTAGTCTTGAGCTGTTTTATATTGATATCTGATTCTAAGAGTCTGATGTTCATTTCTCAGGATAATCTCTATGTTCATTGGTTATTTGTTCCACACCCTGTTGAGAATTCTTATGGTTCCTTATGTCATAGTATCATACTTTTCTTGGGATAATTGGCAATATGATGTTCATATCGTTGATCGAATGAGATTGATTGTTAAGAACTGCTAGTCTAATTGTTTAGGCAGTGGAAAAACTATTTCAAATGTTGACAAAACTATTTGCCAGTCGGTCAAGTGGTAGAACTGCCTCAATTTACCAGAATCTTTACCCAACTTTTCTTGGTTGGTTTGTTTGTTTGTTTCTTTTGTTTTATTCCTTTCTTTAATAAAAGAAAAGCTGACATGGAGCAAGTCATGAGTATTATAACTTGCTGGAAGGGGCTTTAGTGGAGAGTAGCTAAATCTCAGAAAATATGTATACTGTCTGTATTGGTTCCACGCCTGATCTTATTTGAGATTGATCCAAAGAGCAAAGTTGTGGATTGCAGAGGAGATGAACGTAGCTAAGATTGGGACTATAGCAAAGTAACAAGCTTCAATATTATGGACACCTTGTTGCTTGCTGGTTTAAATAGAGAGATAAGTTTTCAAGAATGCAGCACAGTTGCTCATAGTTGGTACTTGGATGTTCTAACTTATCTTTCACTGTAGTTTTGAATGAATTCTTATGGACTTTGGCAATTCTTTTAGAGTTGCTTACAGATACCAAGTCTTGTCCTAGTTTGTCTTTGTCAAATGTCACCTGGAGAATATTGTTTGTTACGGCTACTGTTCCCAAAGAGTTTGCTCCTATGTCCTGTAACTATTTCTTTTCACTTTGTTTCTGAATTTCTTAAACAGAGGCATGTTGGATAATATTGGTTCATCTTAAATGAACACATTTCGTCGTAAGTGATTCGATAATATACTCTGATTTGATTTTCTGTCTGACAGTGGAAACTTCACTTATTCGAGCTCGAGGAAGAGATGAAGATTGACCCACCCACCAAATATGTTCTTTATCAGGTATTCACGTGTATCTTCCTTTGTTTTGTTCCTCCTCTTTCTTTTATTTGCTCTGTTTTGTGGGAGTTTTATGTTTGGTTTATTTCTTCCTTTCCTTGCTGGGGGAAAGGGAATGTGGGAAAGGATTCAAGCATGCAATGAATTGAGCCTGGCTACATTGTTGCGACTGGCAAATTCTGCTGTGTCATCGTTTCGCTTGACATAAAATGGCAATCAATTATGAAGGAACCCATTATATTTTTGCCAAAGAATGAAAACGTCAATGATACAAATTTTTTGTTTTGATGGGCATGTCTACATTAAGAAACCTTTTGCCTAATAGTGCTTGGCCATTGTGTTTAGTCTGGAAAGGGCTTTTTTATACCATAATCTAAAAGTGGTTTACTGATATTTTCCTTCATCTTAGGGGGCGTGGTTGTTTAATGACTGAAAAAATGTTGCCATTTTCTTGTTGATTGTTGTCTTCATGCAAGTACAAAAAGAACGACATATGATATGATCACTTTAGTAGTGATAAAATCAATGTGATGGAAAGATTATTAATTTTCATCTTGATTTTGTTTCAAAGCAAGAGCGTGGGGTGGGGTGGGGGTTGACAGGGTGGAGCTGGGGCTGATGGGTTTGAGGTGGTGGGTTGTAGAGCTGTGAGTTTACAGGTTTGAGGTGGTGGGTTGTAGAGCTGGGAGTTTACAGGTTTGAGAGGTGGTTGGTTGTGGTCCTTGTGGAGCTTGGGGGTAAAGAAGTTGAAGGTGGGGGTGGTGTAGGGGGTAACGTCTGCAGGGGTGGAGGTTAGGGGAATGGGGATGGACAGTTGGTGGGTTGGAAGTGGGGTGGAGAGAAAGAGAGACCATTTGTGTATAGGATTTAGTTTTTCAAATGAGGCACAATAGGTTTATGGTTATAGGGATTGTTTGTCTATATAGATAAGGTGAACGGGTAAAATTGGAAAAATAAGCACTCGTTTAACGTCGATGGGAACAAAATTTGACCGGAGGTGTTAGTGTAATTTGAGAAACTATGAAGGTATTCCTTAAGATTGCTAAAAACCCTAAGGGATGATGATGTTGTTGTTTCTCAATATATTTTGGTCGAGATTTACTTTTAAAAGTGATTCGCNAACTATGAAGGTATTCCTTAAGATTGCTAAAAACCCTAAGGGATGATGATGTTGTTTCTCAATATATTTTGGTCGAGATTTACTTTTAAAAGTGATTCGCTCTATATTTATTAGTTTATAACTACTATGAATTTTAGGATGACCGGAGCAAACACTGGCGAGTGCAGGCAGTGGCGGTATCTCCCGATAGATTTGAGAGCCGGAAGCCCCTTCCATCTCAGTGGCGAGGTCTGAGAGATGATGAACTCTCAAAGGAGGCAGGAATTCCTGGTTGTGTGTTTGTACACATGAGTGGGTTTATTGGTGGAAATCAGAGTTACGAGGGTGCACTGGCAATGGCAAGAGCCGCTTTGAAGCTTTAAGCATTGAAGATCGATTCCATTGGCATCTCAAGATGTTCCTCACAGCATTTGAATATGAGTTGTTTTCATCTGTTTCAATTCACTAAAGCTAATATAAAGAGTAGCCAGATTGTTGGGCTTTATGTGGCAGATATATTGTTTAAGATTCTACGGAGGTTTTTCCTTTTGGTCCGAATTCTAGTGAGGGTGGGAATGATGACTTTTCCTAGTTCAACGTTGAGTCCCAGATTTATTTTTTTGTGGGTTTCTCATTAGAATATGAATACGGGCAATCAACCAAGAATTCAGAATATTTTGTTGTAGTCTATTCACTGAGCCTTTTTGTTTTCTTTTTTCTTTCTTTTTTCTTTCTTTTTAGGGTGGTTCTGTATTTCAAATATTATTGTGGGAGCTATGCAGCTCCTAGCGAAGGTTCCATGTACACTTTTTTACTCCTGCATGGATTTATTTCCAATGATACTGCTTCATTCTTTCTTTCTTTCTCTTAGGATTGGTTTTGCTCAGGTCGGCGGTGACTCTTTAACTATTTGATGTTACTGTAGCGCATTAGGAAAATTGAGTTGTGACTTGAAAATTTGGGGGCCTTTGGAATCAAAACACGATTCTTTCTATTCGACAGAAATAAACATCAGAATCTTGACATTTAGGGAGAGAAAGGTACTTGAAGATTTTGGCCTTGAGATCGAAATGGTTTAGGGTCGGTTGTCCACCTTGTGGGGTATACCTTATCTCCAACTTAAATGCTGAGGCAAGTAGTCCATAGAACCTTTTCACAAAGATGAAAACGGACCTGACCTTAAGGTCGTCACAGAGTACTTTTTACTGCTGTGATAGGATAATGATTCTTGCTCAATAGACATTTAATTGGTCAATCTTTTATTTGTTTTTTTGTTCTTTCTTTTTCTGTTGGGTGGGAGAGAGATGTTTGTAACTAGCGATACCATTAATTCAAGAAGACTCGTCTTTTTCTGTTGGGTGAGAGGAGACACGTTCTCATGGAGTATTATTCAAAATTTTGATTCTCATGTCGAGCTGCATCCTCTTTGATGTGTCGCCAACGCACGTCCAACTGTCTCACTTGCTGTCATTGATTCCTATAATCAACTCTCTTCCTATCAAATTAGTAAAAAGTATTATTACATCTCAACCCTTTGACTCTATCGTTGCAGCATCACTGGATCTGATTCAATCTCTGCCATCCGTTTTATAGATCTGGGGGGTCCATTGGGTGAATGAGCTAATAATATCAGTGCACCAAGATTTAACATTCATACAAAGGAAGAGGGTCATTCAGGTACTTCTGCCTTGTGCTTTTGTCTTTTGCCTTGGACACACAGGCCAATAAGACTTCCCCATGTTAAGTTTTAACTCCCTCTTAGATTTGAGAAAGTGAAACACTGGGGGGTGAGAGAGAGAGAAGGTGAGAGATGGGTAGTGTTAGAACTCCAATGTACCAGTTATGGTACATTTTTCAGTTATTTCTGTTGATTCAAACTTGCAAAGTTTTTTGCTACCAATTCAAGGTTGGAGATCTAGATGCTTGGGGTATTCCCACTTCAGCAAATCCACAAGTCTACACCAACTGGTCTAAAAATCACAACTTCACGATTGGAGACTCTCTCAGTAAGTTTCTCTTCATGTAACTTTCCTGTTATAGATCTAAGCATTACAGCTAGTTTGAAGAGTGCACATTTTTACATAGTAATATATTTCATGAACGTCTAAAGCAGTTATTTATTTTCAGTGTTTCTGTATCCACCAAGTCAAGATTCATTGATTCAAGTGACAGAGGGATCATACAACAGCTGCAACCTAAAAGATCCAATCTTGTACATGAACAATGGCAACTCTCTGTTTAACATCACGTCTCCTGGTGAATTCTACTTCACCAGTGGAGTACAAGGGCATTGCGAAAAATCACAGAAGCTCCACATTTCTGTGCCTAGAAATGGTAGTTATGCATTCTCATCCTCTTATGCTCCCACTGCATCGCCAGCAGGTTCACCCTCATATCCTACAGTCTTCGGATCGATCCCGGCACAGTCTTCTTCTTCTTCTTCCTCACCATCACTAAAATTCCCAGTTTTCATGTCGGCAGCCATTGGATTTTTGATATGCGCATTGATCAGAGGCAGTATATAAAAAGGACACAGTAATTTTGAAGGTAAACAAATAAATCCCATGTATCTTTATACTTAAAACAATTTGTATTATTGATTTCTCAGAATAATTATTTCAATGTGTTCCTTTCTTCCTGAGTCGGTCGAGTGCTTGATGGCTGCTGTTTCTATGGTAGCAATAGTTTTTGTTTTTTGTTTTAAATTCCACAAATCACGCATTCAAATTGCATAGTCGGCATTGGGAGAGGCTCAATTACCTTTAGNAGTAGTCCATAGAACCTTTTCACAAAGATGAAAACGGACCTGACCTTAAGGTCGTCACAGAGTACTTTTTACTGCTGTGATAGGATAATGATTCTTGCTCAATAGACATTTAATTGGTCAATCTTTTATTTGTTTTTTTGTTCTTTCTTTTTCTGTTGGGTGGGAGAGAGATGTTTGTAACTAGCGATACCATTAATTCAAGAAGACTCGTCTTTTTCTGTTGGGTGAGAGGAGACACGTTCTCATGGAGTATTATTCAAAATTTTGATTCTCATGTCGAGCTGCATCCTCTTTGATGTGTCGCCAACGCACGTCCAACTGTCTCACTTGCTGTCATTGATTCCTATAATCAACTCTCTTCCTATCAAATTAGTAAAAAGTATTATTACATCTCAACCCTTTGACTCTATCGTTGCAGCATCACTGGATCTGATTCAATCTCTGCCATCCGTTTTATAGATCTGGGGGGTCCATTGGGTGAATGAGCTAATAATATCAGTGCACCAAGATTTAACATTCATACAAAGGAAGAGGGTCATTCAGGTACTTCTGCCTTGTGCTTTTGTCTTTTGCCTTGGACACACAGGCCAATAAGACTTCCCCATGTTAAGTTTTAACTCCCTCTTAGATTTGAGAAAGTGAAACACTGGGGGGTGAGAGAGAGAGAAGGTGAGAGATGGGTAGTGTTAGAACTCCAATGTACCAGTTATGGTACATTTTTCAGTTATTTCTGTTGATTCAAACTTGCAAAGTTTTTTGCTACCAATTCAAGGTTGGAGATCTAGATGCTTGGGGTATTCCCACTTCAGCAAATCCACAAGTCTACACCAACTGGTCTAAAAATCACAACTTCACGATTGGAGACTCTCTCAGTAAGTTTCTCTTCATGTAACTTTCCTGTTATAGATCTAAGCATTACAGCTAGTTTGAAGAGTGCACATTTTTACATAGTAATATATTTCATGAACGTCTAAAGCAGTTATTTATTTTCAGTGTTTCTGTATCCACCAAGTCAAGATTCATTGATTCAAGTGACAGAGGGATCATACAACAGCTGCAACCTAAAAGATCCAATCTTGTACATGAACAATGGCAACTCTCTGTTTAACATCACGTCTCCTGGTGAATTCTACTTCACCAGTGGAGTACAAGGGCATTGCGAAAAATCACAGAAGCTCCACATTTCTGTGCCTAGAAATGGTAGTTATGCATTCTCATCCTCTTATGCTCCCACTGCATCGCCAGCAGGTTCACCCTCATATCCTACAGTCTTCGGATCGATCCCGGCACAGTCTTCTTCTTCTTCCTCACCATCACTAAAATTCCCAGTTTTCATGTCGGCAGCCATTGGATTTTTGATATGCGCATTGATCAGAGGCAGTATATAAAAAGGACACAGATATTTTGAAGGTAAACAAATAAATCCCATGTATCTTTATACTTAAAAACAATTTGTATTATTGATTTCTTAGAATAATTATTTCAATGTGTTCCTTTCTTCCTGAGTCGGTGGAGTGCTTGATGGCTGCTGTTTCTATGGTAGCAATAGTTTTTGTTTTTTTGTTTTAAATTCCACAAATCACGCATTCAAATTGCATAGTCGGCATTGGGAGAGGCTCAATTACCTTTAGCATAAAAAGAGATGAGGCAGAATCAAATTTTATGTTATCCGTGCTCCACCTTCTTCCTCTTTTGCTCTTTCCTAAGAAAAGCAAGCACTAATTTCCATGTCCATGTAAGATGCCAATGACAGATGTTATATTGGTGGCTAAGATAAAAAAGAAAGGGGCAACTTAGTACACGAGCTTTCTATTACTATATGGTTTGAGGGATGGATATACACAGTGTAACTCTTGTATGTGGAAACATTGATTCTTGACCTTTTGACACCCAGATCCATACCGAAGTTTTACACTGTATTGGTCAAGATATAGCGGTGTTGTTTGCTAGCTGGAACCAGCTCTTGGGCTGCTGGTCTCATTTCTCTGTTTCAACTTTTCTTGCAAATTGCATTATGGGCCAAAAGAGTCTTATAAATTGGCTGCTTGGGTCTTTCTTCAATTTTTTTTTTTTGATATTACAAAGGAAAAATATTTCACAATAAATCCTAATGATTGAGATAACAGGAAAACTCATTTATATTTTAAAATGATACAAGGAGCATAACATGAGACTTTTAATTAAAAATTTTGACAACTTGTAAAATTTTTCAATAATACTATTTGAATATAATTTATTAACTCAATTTTACGTTATTTTTAAATTAATAATTAGCTCAGTTTAATATCAAAATCAAAGATTAGTCTAATAAAATCAATGAATTAAATAAGAAAAAAAAAAGGGGTAAGTTAAAAGGAGAAGTGATCGAGTCCAAAGGTCGGACAAAGTTTTCCGGTGCTTGAATTTCGAGTAAACACAACTTGTGAAGGAGGGCCAAACCAACATAAACGGGGGTTCTAATTGAATACTTTACACGACACTCTATTAATTTTATTAATTTAATAATTATTTTTCTTACTTTTTGAGAAGCAAAAATATATTCAAGTTTTATTTATAAAACTTACTGTAAATAAGATTTTATTAATTTAATTTTAAAAAATTTCTTTCCACTGAAGTAACTGTTACATGTATTATTAACAAAATTCTATAACCAATGAATGCATTCATAAAATAATTTAGTCTTTTTATGTAGTTTAATATTTCAATTGGAGTATTAGTTTCAATTTTTAAAAATTGTTTTAAAACTTTTAATTCTAAAAGTAACTCTAAACCATCAATATTAGTAGATATATCAAGTTTAAGATAATGTTTTTGCAAATCAACTTCATTGAAATATTTTAATTTTTTCAAAAATAAATAAAAACCAAAAATATTTACATATGTTTTAAATTGTTTAAATCTTTTTTAATTGAACAAAGAGTTTGACCTACGACACATAAAACATACATAAAATAATCGAGAGAGAGAAGCATAGAGAGAGGCCTGGCAGAAGATTTTTTTTGTTGACAAAATCAAGTTTAATATTTATAACATGATTTTTTTTTTAAGGTTTTTATTGGGCTTAACCAAATGGAGAGTATTTTTGAGATTAGCAAGGCTTAGACATTAATTTTGGCTCTTAAATTTTGGGCCTTATTTAAAACTCAAAAATGGACAAAAAAAAAATAGTGAAAATTGGGAGTGGGTTCTCCTAGATGGACTTGTTTGGAGATAAGTCCGACAAGAAAACTTATTTGGTTGTAAGTCCACTTTTCTTCAAGTTTACTATATTTTCCCTACTTTTTGGAAAAGGCAAAACAGACGTCTGCTTTGACTGTCTTCTACACAGACGGACAAAACTCATTCAACGACATACACTCTTGAAGCAGAGTTTCCTTCCCCGTACAAAAAGTTTCTTTAAGGGTTTTAAAGAAACCTTTACATGATTTATCTTTTCCTCTCTCTCAATTCCCAAAATTCAGGAGCAAAAATCAAATAAACTAGAGAGAGAGAAAGATGGGGGCACTGACGACAACAATCATAGTAATAACGGGATTGGCACAGTGTTGAACAACCATAGAAATGGCCTGTAAACCATGTCTCAAATGGGTCGTGAAGCCATAGATCACAACCTCAACCCATATTACGATCTCAACGATGACACCATTCGTGCCCCTCTCAATCCAAACCCACCTGTTTCTGCTGATGATAATGAGTCTGATGCCACTTCTAGTGTCATCAAAGCCGTCTGATTATCATCTCTGATCCTCAATTCAACCATCACATTGGCTATGCATTTTGGTACTCTCCCTTTTCACAAACCCTTTTCAATTTTTGTCTTAAATGTATATTTGTGTGTGTGTGTGTGTTTGTTTTTTTTGTTTTTTTGTTTTTTTGTTTTGGAGAATGAGGAGAGGAAATGGACGAGAAAAGAGGATTCTTGTGTGTACTCTTTCTTGTCTATGTTTTGTGGCGTTTTTGTGTAATTGAGAGATTGTTTGTGTTGATGATGATCTGACTTATATAAGTTTAATAACTAGCTTATTGATCTAAAAAAAACATGATTTATCTTTCAAACTATCAACTGATTTTTTTTTTTTTTGTTTTGCATTCATAATCATAAAATTGAGATTTCCTTGTAACTATATTAAAGTGTTATGTTTTTTGATTTTGTTGTTTTGTCGTTGTGTAAGGCATTCAAAATTCCTTGGTTGTGTATTTGTGAAATATATCATGTTACTATGTGAAGACTTGAAATGTATCTCATAATGTTGATATCTTGATTTTTTTGATTGGTGTTAAGTGTCCTAATTTAACTATTGACGATGTGTTACTACTAGAAATTTTGTAAATATTCAATTTGTGGATCGTATTTTCACTATAATTTTTTGAAAATTGATGTTACTATGAATACCATATAGCCTTGTAGTTTGTGAAAGTCGATGTGTTATTGAACACAAAACTTTGGTGTTACTATGAAAGCTAAAAGTGTATGTTACATAATATACGTCTAAAATGTTTGCAATTAGTAGTGAAAAGTGTAAATTGGGGTTGGATTTGTGTTACTATTTGGGTTTCTTAAAACAATTCCATTTTTATTCGTTGTGTTATTGTGAAAAGAACACGAGTACAAGTTACGGTGGACCGATACACTTTGATGCACCATAATTTGTTTTCGAACTTTTGAGGGGATTATTGTTTGCTTTAAAGTATTGATTGGGAATGAGTCCTTTTTATTCAACAACTGAAAATGATGTTCATGAACTCTAGTGTAATCATGATATCACAAGAGTACTCAACAGTTTCAGTTACTTTAGGACAATGGTATGTATAGTGCAATCTTCAATCCATATAATTGTAACATATAGACACACAAAATTGTGTTTGTCTGATGTTACTGAAGATGATGTTACTGAGATGTAGTTAAGAATTTAATGTTATTAACCTGATGTTACTATATTTACATCATGTAATTTGGTGAAACTATTATTGTTACTTTTGCACAAAATTTTTCATAATTGGTTTATATCTATTACGCTTGGTATCATGTTACTATATTCTATATGTTACTATTTTGTATGTTATTATATGTTGTGTGTTACTATTTTGTATCACGATACTATATGTTTGTGTAGGATATTGATATTACAACTGTCTAATATATTTATTTTAATATTATAACGTCGTGCTACAGGTTGATGACAATTACAGGAAATAGAAGAGAAATTGAAACCAGTACAATTTAATGCTCTACGGATACATATGGTGACTACATTTATAAACCATAGGAATGCATGTACTGTTAAAGACTACAAGACAAGATCAAGATTGAAAAAAAAATACTAAAAAAATAAAAATTGGTGATGTTGTAAAGCTATTCATTCTTTAACTAATTGTAAGCTTAGTTAGAAGTTGGTTGTAATTGTTGACAGGTTGGTACTTTGTTTAAATGGAGTATTCAAACATGTAGAATTGTGGTTTGAATGTTACATCTTGATATTAAATTGATATGTTGATGTAGGTTTGAAAATTTGTTTGTAATAGAACGTTTGGAAAACGAAGGAAATTCTGTCCAATTTGTAATAATAACTCAAACAGTAACATGTTAAAAAATGTTCCAACTAACATAACTATTCAATTTTAGAATGCTAAAATTGTGTTGTATGTAGAATTGATATGTTAAAATCCGTTGTAATTATTCATTATCAAGTGAATTTGTAACATTGTTGCAGGATTGGTTATTGTATGTAATGATCATTAAATACTAATCTTGACAGTAACATCATTAGTAACACAGGGTCCTACGACTGCTTCTATCACCTTCGAACCCCCGGCCAAACACAAAAGCCTATTATTCAAAAGTATAACAGACTAAAATTGATTAAGAATTTGAATTGATAAGGAAAACTTGTGATTTGATTTAATTCGTCAATCAGGTTTCTATATATAGCTAGCAAAGCATATATATTCCATATATTCTTCATTTAATTATCAGGATTTTTAATAAAAAATAATTTCCATATATAACTCAAGCTAAGATTTCTCTATATACTTTAAAGATCTAATATATTGGACTTTCCATAATTAGACAAAATTAGTACCACTAAAGGTAATATTGGGATTTTTAAAAAAAAAGTGGACTTAAACACCTACATATAAGTTTAAACATGGACTTAGACTCCAATAAATTTCCTTGTTGGACTTATCTCTAAATAAATCCACATAGGGGGACCGACCTCCAAAATTCCCAAAAAAATATGTCTAATATACTTGAGGACTAAATTTTTTGGAGGCCCTCTAAAATCAGGAGCCCTAGACAACCACCTTACTGGCTTATACCTACGGCCAGCCTATGAAGAGTCCAAAAATATGATTAACACTGTAAAAGGTGATTTAAATGATAATAAGGACAAATTGTAAATTAAAACGTTTTAAATTCGAATCTTGACAACATCTGAAGACCTGATCAAGAGAAATTTATTCTTTATGAATACCCATTCTCAACGTGAATGACTTATTTTTGACAAGACTAAAGCGAAATCCATGTAAATTAGTCCAGACACCCCTAACCTTTTAAAAAAAAAAAAAAGACTTGTTCACTTACCGTGGGATTCAAGTAAATAAACCACAATATAATGTATGACCAAAAAAAAAAATACAATGTTGACAACAAATCTACATATACACGAAAAACAAGACATTTCACTAGAAAATTAGATGCCGAGTTAGAAGAAGACACAATGCTAGATGAAGCAAGATAACAGAGCATTGCGTTGTAATAAGGCTTTTGCTAAATTGGTTCTGTAACTGGTTAAGCATATGAATGTGTTGAGCCAAGTGAAATCTTTCATGCCACATGCCAAGCATAAACTAATTTTAATTGAGTAAATTTGAATGGGTAGTTTATGTCTAATCACACATGGTTTTGCTGCCTGCTACAGAAAGTAGTGCCCTTCGAGTCGCGCATTGTCTAATAGGTGAAGGCTATGGGCTAAAGACAAAAGTGGTGAAGGTTTGTTCACGGCAGGCTTACCATAGTCAAGTTGATAAAAGTTCAAATTCAAGATATGGGTTGTGACAAATGCAACTAGCGGACAATACAAGAAAGATCGGAAAAATTTGATATTTAATTTTCGGTGCTGCCACTAAAATTAATGTTTGTTTATACACGCCAGAAATTATTAATAAAAAATAATAATTTTTTTTTTGACTAAGTCAAACACCACAAATTATTAATAAAAATAATATATATATTTTTTTGCTTAATTTCTGGCATAAACGCCACAAATTCTTAATTAAAATAATAAAAAGTTGTTTTTTTTTTGGCTTTATTTTTTACGTTGAAGTCAAACGCTACAAATTATTAATAAAAATAATAATTTTTTTTTCGCTTAATTTCTGGCGTTTAAGTCGATCACCACAAATTCTTAATTAAAATAATAAAAAAAAAATTTCTCCCCCACCATAAACATCAATTTTTCCCCAATTGGTTCTGTCGACTTCTCTCTCTCCGACGAACTCCTCCTCTCGAGTGTTCAAGACTACCTCAGGCGATAGGCAATTCTGACTATCTCAGGCAGCTCCAAAGTCTCCGGTGACTTCAGTTGTGTCTCAAACAAGTCTCTCAAACCAAAACCCCTCATTCATCCATCTCTTCGGGCGAAAACCCCTCCACCACATCTCCACCGAATCACAGTCACCACTACGGCGTGATAGTGAGTCCAATAATTAGTTTGTTATTGTTGATTTTGTATCTAAAAGGTCCAAGGTCCACCGAATCACAGTCACTCACAAACAGAAATCATACAATCACACATTGATTCATATTTCTTTTTTCCACTTTATTGCGATGTAGATCTGCTGACAAAGGATTATATCTCCGATTAGAAATTTTCGGTCCCATGTTTCTGCACAATATGAACTAAAGGATTCGGTTAAGGCTCATATGAACACTGGTTCGTTCGTTCGTTGATGGTGTTCAGTTTTTTTTGGCTATAGATTTCTGTTCACACATTGATCCAGATTCCACACCACTCCGTTAAGCTTAGTGAGATCATTTTTTTAATTAGTTGATTGGATTATTGCATTAACATTTGAGAAGAAAATCAGCATAAAAATATATGATTAATTTATTTACCAGAGTTCTAGCGATTTTATCCCCTGATTAATCCTTTCATAGAATTGATAATTTGCTTTGGGCTTCTAGCTGTTTTTTTTCCTGTGCCTCATGATTTAATTAATTAATCGAGTGTGATTAGTGTAAATTTGTAAGGAACTATTTGTTATTTGGATTGCCTGATATTGGGAAATGAAAAGAGTGGTGATTATTACGTGCTATGCTATAATTTGACTGAACTATTAGGAATTAGGGTCCATGACACTTATAACACTTATCCTTTGACAGCAAAAATATTGGGCATTGAAATCTTAATTTTCTAAAACTGCCTTGGGTGTTTTGTTTCAGTTGCGGAACCTTCTCTCTTCTTGTTTCTTTTATTTTCAGCATTGTGTAGTTGGTTTTTGGTATTGTACTTCTGCATTTATTGTCGTTCCTTTTTTTTTCTTCCCCTGATATTTATTGTTGCTACTTTAACATTGGCAGAATTTTGGTTTCGGCGAATGTCGTCAGTCGTGACCCTCCCAGTGGCCCACATCTTTTCTGATCGGTCGGGGGCAGAAATATAAACGTAAACCTTTAGATTATGACAACTTGGTTTTGTTNGTTCGTTCGTTGATGGTGTTCAGTTTTTTTTGGCTATAGATTTCTGTTCACACATTGATCCAGATTCCACACCACTCCGTTAAGCTTAGTGAGATCATTTTTTTAATTAGTTGATTGGATTATTGCATTAACATTTGAGAAGAAAATCAGCATAAAAATATATGATTAATTTATTTACCAGAGTTCTAGCGATTTTATCCCCTGATTAATCCTTTCATAGAATTGATAATTTGCTTTGGGCTTCTAGCTGTTTTTTTTCCTGTGCCTCATGATTTAATTAATTAATCGAGTGTGATTAGTGTAAATTTGTAAGGAACTATTTGTTATTTGGATTGCCTGATATTGGGAAATGAAAAGAGTGGTGATTATTACGTGCTATGCTATAATTTGACTGAACTATTAGGAATTAGGGTCCATGACACTTATAACACTTATCCTTTGACAGCAAAAATATTGGGCATTGAAATCTTAATTTTCTAAAACTGCCTTGGGTGTTTTGGGTCAGTTGTGGAACCTTCTCTCTTCTTGTTTCTTTTATTGTATAGTTGGTTTTTGGTATTGTACTTCTGCATTTATTGTCGTTCCTTTTTTTTTCTTCCCCTGATATTTATTGTTGCTACTTTAACGTTGGCAGAATTTTGGTTTCGGCGAATGTCGTCAGTCGTGACCCTCCCAGTGGCCCACATCTTTTCTGATCGGTCGGGGGCAGAAATATAAACGTAAACCTTTAGATTATGACAACTTGGTTTTGTTGGAATTTTATGCAAGACTTATTATTAATATGGGCATTGTTATGAGTGTGCTCTCTCTCCTGCCAAAAAAAAAAGTGAAAATGCAATGAGCTAGTAAATCAATTTGTTATGGACTGATCATTGAGAGTGATTCTCTGGTCTTAGTAAATTCTGTTCTGGGTTGGTGTGAATGTCCTTGGCAGTGCCTTGATTTTATGCGACAGATTCAGTCCTTTTTGAAACGCTTGGAGTTTAAATTGATTCATGTGTTTTGGGAAGGTAATGCTGTGGCGGATAGATTGGCAGCCCAAGCTGTGCTTTCTCGAAGGACTGTTGATTTTACAGTTGGATTCAGATAGCCTTGTGAGGTTGGTATTGCCTTGTATCAAGATCTGAGGGGACTGCCAGTGTTTCGGAAGAAGAGAGTGTTGGTTTTCGATGATAAGCGCTGAAAGGATTTTTGGTGTTTTGTTGGAAGTCCTTTTAGGACGATATAAGTGCTGCTGGAAAAGGAGCTCTGCTCTAAAAGTTTTGGTAGTAGATTTATTCTTTTTGAGTTTATTTTACTTTGATTTTTGTAAGGCGTCTGTGCCTTTGAGGTGGTTTGTAAAGGAGGTGTTTACCTCTTATTTGCTTCTTATAATTACCTCTTTCGTGAATAAATAAATTTCTTTCTTAAAAAAAATGGGGTTTTATTATAAAATATATATATTAATTATTATAATTGGCGTTTATTTAAACACGGGAAAATAGTTGCTCATAAATAATAATTACTGGCGTTTAAATAAACGCCGTAAAATAGTTCAGGTGATCAGAATTTTACAATGAAATTGTCGATTAAATAAGCGTCGCTTTAACGTTTAGCAAACGTCACTTTAGTTTTTGTGGCGTTTAATTATACGTCAGTAATTTTTTCGACGGAGGTTTCAACATCATTAATAACAAATGTCAATAATAATATTTTGTGGCATATATTTACATTTTACCGGTGTTTATTAAACGCCGATAAAAGTCTTTTTTCTTGCTGTAGGAGTTTTTCAAGCTGCTACTTGAGAGGTATTTCATATTTGGCTTTGAATTTTGGGAGCTCTAATATTTGTCTACAAGAGTTTGAAGATTCTGATTTAGTAGGGGACATTGACAATATGAAGAGTACTATAGGATATGTTTTTACATTGGGTAGTGCGGCAGTCAGTTGGGTCTTAAAACTACAGAAAATAATAACTATTTCAACAACAGAGGTAGAGTATATTGCAGTCACGGAGGCGTGGAAAGAGATGGGATAATTGAGGAGCTTCATGAAAGAGTTGGGTAAGGAACAAGACAATTCTAAATTGTTTAGTGATAGTCAGAATGTGACACATCTAGTGAAGAATACAACCTTTCATTTGAGAACTAAACATATCGACAAAAAAATATCACTTTATTCGCTATTTGTTAGAGGATGAACAGTTCACTTTGGAGAAGATTCACATAAGGGATAATCCCGCAGTTATGTTCACGAAAGTGGTTACTGTAAAAAAGTTGAAGTTTTGTTCAACTTTTGTGGGTCTCTCAGCTTGAGGACAGGAAGATGAGTTGCAGGGATGATGGATTGTTTTTTGGAGGATTGTGTTTGATGTTGGTGATTGAATAAGTCTCCAAGTGAGAGATTTATTGGGTTTTTTTGTGAAGCCTAATTTGTGTTGATCCAGATGATAGCCCGACCCGAAATAATATTACGCGAACGTAGGCAAATTGTCGATCCACATAAATACTGTATTGTGTGTGTAATTGTTTTTCTTTGGCGTGTGTTTTCTTTATTTTTATTCCTCACAGGTTTGAGAATTTCATGCAAATTTCCTAAATTGCACCTTACTTCAACTTTAATATTATAAACTCAAGCGCAGGTTGAGCGAAGTAATATATTTCTAAGAAGACCGAGGTTGAACCCTCAAGAAATTATAACACGAAAACAATCACACAAATACTTAAACAAACTTAAAAACACATGATTTGTTTAAGGAATTGTTGAGTGAAGAAGATTGATTTAATTAATTAAAACAATAATATAAAAAATACTAGAATATCCGGTACTCCCTCTCAATTTCATACAATAATGATTAAAGACTTAATTCTTAACCTTAGATAAGAATCAATTGTTTGTTGATTCGAGTAACAAATCAAGTAAGAAAACCAAAAGTTATACTCAAAAGATTATTCAGGAACCTGAATAAGAATCCAATTATATTATTTTATGAAATAATGATAATTACCTCAAGCGTGAAATAACCAGTTATTTACTCGCAGAAAAATTCAAGCAATCGATGTATATAAAATATTTGGGCGCGCGAGTACAAAATATGTCCAAACGTTGATCTTGAATTTTGCATATTTAGAGGTTGATTCACAAAAATTTCGTGAAATACACTTTTGTAGCCCTAAAGTCTTCTTTTCAACTCCCAAAAATCAAGTAAATCGGATATCGAAGTCAAAAGTTATGACCAAAATACTGAAAACGTGTCAAATTCTTATCTTCTAAAATACTTTCTTAATTCAACTCTAAATAAATTTTCTTTCAACTTGAACTCTTATAAGAATTAAATTACTGTCATATCTTCAAGTCTTCCTATTTCAATTTAGACTTTTGAATCCTTATCAATTATGATTCTTTCTCTAGTGATTGTTTCACTTGTCTTATCTATTATTACTTTAAATCAACTAATTTACCTGTAAAATAAATCAAACAATTAGAAAAAGTATCAAACTAAAAATTAAGAAATTTAACCAATTTAATTACAAATAATATGCAATTAACTAATTATTAAATATAATAAAATAATAATTTTGATGATTAATCGCACCTCATTTATGTTACAACTTCACATACATCATTAAAATTATCGTTCTTATCAAACCATCTCAATTATGATACCACTGGACAGCCTTCAACCACAATTCCCGTGGCTGTAGGACAGGAAGCATAGGGACACCCATCAAGGTCATTACCCCACCAGTTTAGACTAATATTTTCCAACCCCAAGCACAAATACAACAACACCCCCATAAAGGCCAGGCCAGCGTCAAGAGCACCGGAAAGAACATAATTGTGACGCTGCCACAAGTCCGGTCTATATCGATACACCACGTAGCCCGAGAGGAACCCTAAAACAATCCAACTTGTGTAGTTAACTGCTGTAGCCGGAGGCATATTTCCAGTGGCTCCTATTAATACCGGCATGTTAACGAGCTTAATCCAATCTTGATTAGGGAAGGCCTTGTGAGTTAACCACACCAAAAGAGGAGCTATTGCTCCACCAAGGAACCACCAATTTGTCACCCTGTAATAGCCTTGATCTCCAAAAATTTTGCGAGGCCCGATCAACCCCCAGATAACAGACGCGTCATAAAACACGTGATCCGAAGGGCAAGTCCATACACTATCCGAGGATGTTGAATCACAGATGTCGGGGATTGTTTCCATTAGCCACCATGCAGTGCCCAAGTAGACGAAACCCGCTATAAGGGTCCCCACAACCTGAATAATGGACAAGCGGATGAACAAGTGTGGGGTTATTAAAAGTGATATGGTACGTAGTTGAAGCAGGCTATGCCTAAGGATAAAAACTGACCTGTCCTAAGGCTAAAAACTGACCTGTGCCATGAACATTGTTCTGGGTGGAATTTTCATGTAGTGACCAAGCTTGAAGTCTTGCAAGAATGTCACAGCCTGTGTCATACTTATGTAACCATATACCTTGAAGCACATGTTGGCAACGGGATATCCAGGGTATATATACCCAATAATGTACTCTGTGATAATGTTCAGTCCTGGGGTCTGTCAAGTGCCATAGATTAGCAGTATATGTGCGAAAATCCAAATGCTTGACAGTTGAATAAACATGGCAATTACCTGGTTGGTTATGGCAGTGATGATCCCAATAGGAAGAGTGAAGAAAATGGCTATCATGCAGGCTAGAATAACTCCCCACCATGGCAACTGAAGCTGCTCATTGCAATACTCACAGGCGAAGATAGTGAGTGCAATGTTTGCCACGAGGATGCACCAAAACCACCACTCAGGAACTTGTTTGTACTTGCTCATCAGTTTTGTGTGTATGTCCATTGTCTTCTGTTGAAAACTCGATTTGCTTTGTTCCCATATTTCTCTGCATTTTGAAGCACAGTGAACTGATCAATTGCAACGCCTAAGACATTTCTAATATCATTTTCGTAGCCTAATATGTTATGAATGTAATGCTTCAGTTACATAAACAAGGCTGATCGTCATTCAAGTACCTCGCCCTCAAGAACCAATGGATCAGAATCCTCTCAATTTCAAATTCAGATTAATCATCTACAATGAAATTCATTAAGTTCTATCACTGAATTTTATGGGTATCATTACTAGTACTAATAAATTTCATATAGATAATTGAATTTTGACAGTGACAGAACTTAAAACTAAAGAGGATGAGATCTAGAATTACTAGTGGAGGAAAATAACACTAACAAGGCAATTAATGACGAAGAATCTCAATATTAAGTTTTATTCTCACGTTACCTCCCATGAAAGAGAAGCACATGTGCAACTGTAGAAGTGAGTGCCGCAAAGCCAACACCATAAGTTACTGCAAACAATGTGCTGATATACAACTGCCCTTCTCGTTCATAGGCCGCGGTGTCAAGGTGGAAATTAGGGTCAATAATACTTGAAATATTGTAAACCTGACCAGATGATGTGAACAGCTCGTCCGAGTATATTGGAAAGGTTTTGGCTTTGAAAACGTTGAGCCAATAGGACAATGGAATTAATACATACATAATTAGGAAGAATCCAACTGCGACGTTGGCTGTCGCAAACCATGGACTTGCAAGGGGGCTTCCAAGGTAGGAGGAGATGGTAGACCAATCGAACCCAAAAGCGCCTATTCCGAGCCCATTAAGACCAGAACCAAGCTGTTGGGCAAGAACTGATTGGGGAAAGATCCAACAAATCCAAGACATAGAGGTTAACATTTCAAAGAGGTAGCCAGGGAAGACATAATAAGCAAAGCTGCAGGTGAAAGCAATTAGGAAAAACTGAGTACGCGTTAATCCACCCTTAGGCCTTTCTTCTTTTTCGTGGAGAGCCCTGCAAAAGCAATTGTATGAGTTAATACTGTGTTGATCATCAAATCTAGCTTCCAAATCACCGGATATCAGTTTTTTGAAGGTGAAGGCAAACATCAAGGGACACTAAGTTGATAAATCATGATTTTGGTAGCTACTATGAGTTTATTAGTCTACAGTGTGTGTGAAAATGTTTTTCAAAGAAAATGTGGGTTTTTAAAACCACTTGTGTAGGTTGGGGTTGAGAATTGAGGGGCCTCGCCCTAGCCTCATCAGCCTAAGCCTCCCTATGAGAACTGACACTTTTTAACTCTATGAAAAGTTCCATCCCTAATTCAATTAAAACTCGCATCTACTCATTCTTAGGCAAACTAACCTAAGCTCTTGCCTTAACTTTGTTTCTATAAAAGAACCGAAGAGGAATTCAAATGAAATAGTTTTCTTTTCATCGTCCCAGCAATCTATTTATAGTGGGTTGATGATAGAAAGTCAAATAATCATAAAAACCATAAAAGTCAAATAATCATAAAAACCATAAAAGTCAAATAATCATAAAAACCATAAAGAAGACATATGAACTCCAGCTAATTATGTATGCAAGCTGAACTGGAGACAACTTGTCATATGTGGTTGGGAACATAATAAGTCTAATGGATCCAGATGAAGTTAACGGGATATGCTTGAAATGGGCCAAAGATGGAGCAATTGTGAAATGAAGATGATCCAGACATGTGAGTTACATCCCTTGGCTCATAAAATTTTAGCTGTCCAGATAGCGATCGATCACTGAACCATCTAGTCCAGGCCAATGAAACAGTAGTCCCCACCCACCCCAGTCAATTTATCAGACTCGAACCTTTCTGTCCTCTTCTTTTGTTTCTTCTTTATTTCCAGAATTATAATTATCAGTAAGTATCATTGGCCTTTCAAATTGGAGATTTAGGACGTCACCGCAGTTAGAGCACCTCACAATAATTTAATGACCACTTAGATGTTGGACTTATTCCATCACTATCAATGATGTAAACGCAACAACAATAAGATAATTAAAACTATTAATTTTATTGTAGGTCCTAATATTTATTGGGATCCACTAATATAGGTCTTAATATGNACTTAGATGTTGGACTTATTCCATCACTATCAATGATGTAAACGCAACAACAATAAAATAATTAAAACTATTAATTTTATTGTAGGTCCTAATATTTATTGGGATCCACTACTGTAGGTCTTAATAAGNACGCATGAAAGGGTGCCCAAGACCCACATTCGGAAGGTGAGGACTGGGAGGGAAGGGTCGTCGGTGGTGGGTACGGTGAGAGCCACCTGTTCGATTGGCGAGTTTTCTTCCTCCGGTTCAAGCTCTTCTTTGATTTCGGATTGTGAGGTTGAAGGAGGGCTATCATCATCTCCACTTTTCTCAACTTTGGGTACTGCAAAGAATGATTGTTATGGAAGAAGAACAAGAAGAAGAAGAAGAAAAGATTGAATCAAAGCAAGATTTGGAGATTAAAGAGACTTACTTAGAGGGGAGCGGATCTCATCTGAAGATTCTTCCATGGTCTGGCTCTCTTTAGTTCTGGACAGAGGGGCCCTAGCGATTTACTCTCTTGTGTGACTGTCTTTTTTATGAAACCTCTGCGACAGTATGTCAGATGTGGTGCACACGAGTCATTGGTGTTCATCCTACGGTCTTTTGTCATTCTACCTGCATAGAATAATTTTTCTCTTATCCATTCCAATCTGATCAAATATGATATTCCTATTCGATTGCCATCCAAATTAATTGGATAAAAAATCGGATAGAAAATTAGGTAAATATTTTTATAGTTATTAATTTTTTAATTATTTTAATAATTCAATTAAATAACATGTATCAATTTAATAACACAATAAATGAATATCACTAAAACTTAAAACAATTATAACAACAATCAACAAACATGAGTTAACTTCTAAATTGTTCAGTAAACTGTTCAGCAACTTTGAGCATTAAACTAAAGTAATAGTCAGTCCAAAGCACACATACAAATATGTAATTTAATGAGACATTCAATACAAATAATACACACAAGTATGTAATTTAAGAAGAAAAACAGGCGACCGAAAATGGAGAAACAAAAGAAGAACAGTTAACCAAAGTTAAAGAAATTATGAAAAAAAAAAAACAGATGAAACAAATTCTTAAAGAAATCATAAAAGAAGACCAATTTACCAAGTCAATAATCATGAACAAATTCTTAAACTACAAGACCAATTTATCAAAGCAACAAACATCAAGTTTAATCCAAAAGGAAAAACACAAAAAACAAGTTTAATCCCTCTATTTTTCACCTTTCTTATGTCGACCCTAAACAATCAAATCGCGCCCAAACAATCAATTGAGGTAGAGAGAGAGACAGAGATTGACACAGAGAGAGAGTATCTGGGAGAGGTGATGGAGGCGATGAAGACTAAAGAGCTCAGATGATAGGTTTTGTGAATTTGGGTTTTTAATTTATATATATATAAATTAATTAATGTGGGTAGGATAGGGTTAGAATACGAAAATTAATGAGTATCGCATTCCTACTTGATTTAATTAAAAGATTAAAAACTCTTTTATATTTTTACCCGATTTAATCGACTGGCCTTTCAATAGGATCGGGTAGAGTCGAATATAGTAGAAAATTACGGTTAATCAAAAATTTAAACACCCCTAACCATGACAACTTTAGTTACTAGGAAGAATAAAAAGCTAAGAAAGGTGTTTGAACGGTAACTACAACGCTAAACACTGTATTTGTGAATTAAATTAATGATTCTCATTAAATTTATGAAATATTTAATAATTAAATCACGGTATATATGAGATAATATTTAAAGGTGATGAACATATTATTTATTGTAATGATATTATAATTTCGAGTTGTAATATTAAGGTGGGTTTGTAGAGGTTGGATAGGTGATTCTATGATTGTAAAAAAATTTTACGTCGCACCTAGGCTCGAGTGTGTGGTATGGTATTGGCAGAAGGCAACACCTTTTTGGCTCGTAAATAAGGACGGAATTAGGATTTGATCTCGAGGCAAGCCAACAATGATAATTTAATAGGGTTATTCAACAGTCATGTTAATGTTAAATTTTTATACATAAAAAACTTATTAAATTTGATTTTTATGCACTTAAAAAAAATTATTTTTGAGCACAAAACTAAAAAATGGTTCATGCCATCATAAAAAATTATTTGCAATAATCTTCTCTCTTTTTTCTTGTTTATATAATCTTATGTTTACAAATAAATCAATGTAGCAAATAATAACTTCATATAATATCATAAGAAAAATGAATTATTATAGTCAACCACCTGCTTTTGATAAAAATCATATTTGTATCTCAATTTTTTTTAATTAAAAAAAAAGTCATTTGTTTTTTTTTTATTTCATCGAAATAATCCAATAAATGTCTTCATGAGTACAAACGACATTCATTCATGTAATTACATCATAAATGATTACTAAATATTACTAACTCATTGATTTTTTTGAATGCACTAAATGAGATACTTGCACATTAAGTATTTTCAACAGCTAGCGGTTAACAATAACATTTTGGGTAAAATCTAGTTTACCCCCTTATGAGTTTGGCAGTTTTGCACGTGACCCATATGATTTAGAAATTAGGATATTGCTCCCTTGTGCTTTTAGACTAAAATATTAACGTTAAATTTTAAATTTGACATGAGGAAAAAAAATTAACACGAGTAACTTAAATATGTTCTATTTCGACCATTGATTATTAGATTTTAATATTAGTGAATATAAATCAGTCATTATTTTTAAGAAGTTATATACTTTATTTCTTTTTCTCTTAAAGTTAAGATGGGCAGCATGCTTGTGGTTGTCCATTTTTTGTATTGCATTTGTTTTTTTCATGATGGACTTTGATTTATTTTTTTGGAATAAAAACATTACCATCGGAATTTTAAGTTTTTCGTTATTGATTTATTCTGGTTTCCACCTAAATTAAAATACATTTTGTATTGCATTAAAAGTATTTTCAATCTAAAAATGTAACCACGACGACGACTGGAGATCCTCGAATCTAAATATTTTCAATCTGTAACCTCCTGTAGATCCAGTCCTAGATTCCATATTAGTATTGTCCAGTGGATCATATTGTGCCAACTCACATTAATCTTTTTTGTCCATTGTTGTTGGTATTCGAACAAAGGCATACATTTATAATATAAAACAAAGCGGACCTTCAATAAGTTGATTATACGGTCTTTATTCGTTCAAAGACTTCAACATCCAAAGACTCACAATATATCTCATTCAAATTCAAAAGTCCATATATTTTCTCCCTAAATCCATCTCATTCAACTTAACCTAATCCAACCATCACATCCAACCCAACTTAACCAAACCCAACCAACCCAATCACGTCCTCTGCTTCCTCCGCAACTCTCTCTCTCTTTCTCTCTCTCTGTTACACCCCAACAACACCAGTAGTAGCAGCGCCACTTCGTCAGCAATACCACCACCATCAACGTCTCTCTTCTTCGTCTTTGTGAGCTCTCTATTCCCTCTCAATTTTCACTGGCCACCCCACCGACCCAGGTAAGCTCTTCTCCCTCTCCCTCTCCCTCTCTCTTTCTCACCTCCCTCTCTACGCACGCACCTATAGTCACACACACATAGTCGAACAAACACAAACACACCCCAACCTAGCCAAAACACCCAATCACAGTCACATACACACACATCATGGCACACCCAATATATTAATCTAAGGTTTTGAATTGGGTGTTAATTTAGGGTTTTGAACTTGAGTGTTAATCCTCCCCAGTTAAAGATGGATGGTGATTTTCTGTATTTTCTAGCGGATGTTGCAGCTATAGCAGTTGGTGTATGAAATTTCAGTTGTTCACTTAGTACCAAATTTTGTTAAACTTAAATATGATTCTGTTATAATCATGGTCTTCGTTTCATTCATTTTGGTCCATTATGTTTGATATGATTATGTAAAGAATCAGAACATATTTTTTTTGCCTTATACAAAGACAGAGATTTCTTTTTGCCTTCGATAGTTTTTTGGTCTTTTGTCTGCTATAATTTAATTTATAACTTTTCAGGCTTTCTGGTATTGCATCATGCATTTTTCTTCAATCAAGAAAATGTGAAATAATTGAGTGCCTCTATCCCATTGCGATAAACAATGTCAATTGGGTCATTTGTATTTGCCCAAGGAATATTTTGATCTTGTCATGATTTTCTGAGCAATATTGGTAGTGATCTTGGCCTATGCCAATTATTTTAGTTTCTGTGGGTGACTTTAAATCTGTCTTGAAGCCATTCTCATCCTTCAGTCGAGGGGCAACTGCATGCACCCTAGTTTGATGGCTTTCCAGAAGAGATGTTAGACATTCACTCTTCTCAACACATTTCAAAGCATCGGGAAAGATAAGGATAAATGGAAGGGGATAAGAAATGGTACCTTAGCAAGGGAATATTACCAGTTATGT